AGGTGGAGACCCTACGTGCATGCTACTAGAGGAGCCGCTATGTGTCATCTTGGGCTTTGCTTCCCATCTCATTGCTCCCTCCATAGTGGATTGGCTAGTTAAGTCCCGTGGTGCTGACATGACGCAGAGCCGGGAAAATTGTTTTTCATATACTTGCTTTAATTTTCCTTTTCTGGTTCTGCCTCATAAACCCCGCCTCTTCCATCACAAGCGTAACCATGGATCATCTGTGTAGGGTGGGTTCCTTCAACTTATTAGTCTCAACAGGGGTGGAGGGGTACAGCTGACTTGAGGCATAGCCAGGAATGGAAATGTATGCATTCAATGGAGATATGCTCCAACCCAGATGGACCAGAACCTTACAAGGGGCTTTCACTTTGGGCTCCTATGGGGAGGAGAGAAGGGACATGAGGAAAGGGAAGTATCAGTAGTGATGGGGGACGTGCAATCAGTCTCTGAATGGGCAAAGTACAGGTTTGCTTGAGTTGCTTTGGTACATGAGGTTTCCATAGTGACCGGACCCATCTGTAAACTGCCCCGGGGCTGGGACCGATGGAAATGGTTCTACAAGTTCTATGAAGCACTTCTGCATTGGTCAAAACGACATAAATTCATTTGATAAAACTATCCTGAGGATCATGCTGCATGCCTGTTTGCACTGCGGTTTCCCGCTGGCAACCACACTCACAAGGGGTGCTCCGTCGCCACTTAGGAGTCACCACACTGCACACCAGGGGGGCCACCGTCTGTAGCCACTCACGTCAGGAGGATGGTTTCCCTCCCTGAGCGACGGAGGGGAACCTTGGCCAACTCGGATGGGGGTCCGATAGGGAAAAAGACCCTGTATGCGCCGCAGCAGGCTATGCCCGGAGTGGTCCCAACACATGCAGGGTCAGGCTCTGCCCTAAGGCAATCAAATAATGACCCCAAAAATAACAAACATTACGATGTCCCTGTGTAGCCGGAGGAAACACACAAAAAAAATGAATTGGGATAGAAGGAGGAGTCTATTTAATGTGGTTGATGTGTTTCCTGTTGCAGGCAGGCGGAGCCTTCTCTCATTGGCTGTCCTGGAAGATGACTGGGGAAAAACAGGTCAAAGGGCTTGGACAATGGGGAAGATGGGCCGATTTATGGACCTTAGCACAAACCTTGAGCTGGTGCCTATTTAGAGCCTCAAAACAACAAGTGAGATCATTAGCGATGGCCCATGGCTCCAGTTTCCATTAACCCTAGCAGTCAGAGTTTCACACAATAAAAGACCACAGCAGACATGTCAAGCGTGATTTCTATGGAAGTTCATGAGGAGTCAGAAGACCCAGAAGAGTTCCTTTGTTCTATAGATATAGTAGAAGGTTCGCCATTGGCTCAAAGCGTCCAAAATAGAACTTTGAGGTCCGTGTTTCTAACATAGAAAGGAGGAGAACTCCAGCATGAAGGGATTGCAGCTAACATGGCCTCTGGATATGGTTTGATACACCACCCTAACGGGATCGGGTCAAGATTTATTTTTCCATAGATAAAAAAAATGTAAAATCTCATCCCACCCAGAAGACACCACTGCCCAGGCAACCATCAACCTTGAAGAACTAAAGACAAGATTTCTAAGAAGACTCATGCGACATAACGTAGTGTGGTGATTAGTCTATTGAACAAAGCTGGCATGTCATACACCCCTTGTCATGAATGGTCATCTGTTGGTCAGGGACATACAAGCATCCGCCATGGCAACAGCATTAAAAGAGCCAAGTCCACCCAAAATCATAAAGTGGACTTCCAGCCAAGACTAGGATGAGGATAGGTGGGAATCTCTTCAAGGTTTTCATCTCATGTCCCCATGAGGGAGATTATCCCTCACTTCCTGCCCGATGAGAACAGTCAAAGGTCGGAATTGTCACTCACCTAGGAGAGATTTCTGTATCAGTTGGGAAATATCCCCGTTGATATTACAATCTACAAGCCCCGGCTCCAACAGGCCAAGGTCCTACAGAGGTTCTACCTTTTTGACAGCCCCCCGTGGAAAACAAAGGGCGGTCAAAAGTTAAAACCTCTGTAGGGTCTTGACATGCTCTTTGCCTGTTGGAGGCGGGGCTTATAGAAAGTAGTATCTCTAACAATAGTTGGAGCTCCATTTCAAGTTTTAGGTGGAAGCTGGTAGGCTGTGGACCCAGCTGGCTCCTTCTCACTCAGGGTCCTTGGTACCTAGATCTACCCACCAGCAAGTTCCTGCTCCTCCTCACCTATAGGGTATGACATTCTTCATAATATGAAATCAGTAAATCCGGCAGCGATGGCGGAAAGCCCTCAATGGCCACAGCAGATGGAAAATATCAAATGTAAGCAAAAAGGACTGAGGAAACTGCGGGAGGTCCGGCCGACTGCCAGGGTGGGCCCACACGGGCTTTTCTAGTAGTGTGACCCCCAGAGTGATTTGCAGCACAAGGTCTATGAGCACACACGAATACATGTTTGGCACCAACAAATGTATAGCCCATAAAAACACATTAACCCCATGAGAAGATGGCTGACCCTAATGAGAACCACGAAGGCCCAGTTACCCCGCAGCTGCCCACCTTTCCAATAAAAAAACAGAAAAAAAATGCTCAGTGAAAGCAATAAAGTCTTAAAAATAAAATCTCACGCCTGGTTTCAGGTTGTTTTTGTATGCAGCGGTGAGGTCACTGGGCAGCTGGTCCCTAGGAAAGCAGAGAATCCCAGGACCCCGCAGGAAGGCCCAGTGACCTCATCCTGGGCTAGAGGAGCACAGAAGAAGCTGACATGCAAGAAGAAGAAGTTTTTGGTTTTCCAAGGGGTGGAGCTGCAACACCCCCCCCCCCCCCTTTCAAAAAAAAACAAAACCATGTTTTTTTGAGGG